AATAAAGCACAAGTTTCTGCAGGAATCACCTGGAAAAGCTCGGTGTGGCACCTGAAGAGAAAACGTCTCCCTTTGAGCAGAATTCAGCCAACTGGTTCACAGAAACAAGGAAAAATCTATGCATGCGTTTCAGCCCAGGGAGACGAGTCGCCAACAGCTCTCGCTGTGGTAGGACTGCGAAAGGCCCTCGCCACTCCCCTGCCCCAAATCCATAGAATCATGGAGTCATTATGGTTGGAAAAGACCTTCAAGATGAACAAGTTCAACCCTAAACCCATCATGGTCCCTCGCTCCTTCCAAGACGGAGCCTCCCAGTGCTGTGGCTCTCGATCCCCAAAGCCAGGGTGGATCCACCTGAATTTGCGATCTGAGAGGATCCGGGGTTTATTTTGGGCCCTGACTTGCTTTGTGACTTTGTGTGAAGCCAGATGGAAGTGGTCGGCGTCCAGCCTGAGGCAACCCCCGATGCTCAGAGATCTCCCTGGCAGCTCACTACTATTATTAGTGCTGTAGAAGCGCCCGAGAGCCTTCCCCGATGGCCGCAGAATCCTCGTGCATGGGACCAATGGGTTGGTATGACTGTGCCAACCTGAACCCTGGTGAGAGGTGTACGGGCACGTCTCCCGGGCTGGGGATACCAGGATGACAGTGCGTAACCAACAGATAAAATTTGTATTTTTAACACTGCTCCTCTGCAGGTGGAAAAACATAGCGAAGATGGGACCTGGGCACTGCTGCTATTGTATCGTTGAATACCAATTAGTAGGTTTAGGGAATAAAATGCAGAAGGAACCAAAAACATGGCTAGCTCAGAGCTCCGCTAAGACAGCCCTGCGAGTCCCAGTATTCTTGTCTTGAAAACGAGGAGACAGAGGCAGATCCTAATGTGAACAGCCACAGTTGCATCATAACCGTGATTATAAGAAATAAAAGAACCCTAGAACACACGAGCAAACCACAGCAGATGAGGACTCCTGCCCCAAAGCGAAAACGCAATCCTGTTACGCGCTAGGGCCGCTGGATGCCTTTTCAGGATGGCAGGAGACAAAAAACTTCAGGCCAGAGACAGATTAGGGCCATTCCCCTGCTATTTCTAGCCTTCCCTTTAGGCCCTGGGCTTTGTTTTTTCCCTCAGCCCAGGGACCTGAGCTGGCGGGATGGTGTTTGTGATTGGAGAGGGCACGTCCTGCTCTCACCAAACATCTCCTGTGTCTGGCCAGGGATCAGCTTGCAAAGCCCCCTGAGACTTGTAGATGCCCTAAACCACGATTACGGGTTAAACCCAATCATCCCTAATCCGGCAGGGTGCTCATTAGCTGCCCTGCAATTCAAGCCGCTGCGCTGCCCACTGCGACACTCGCTAGCTGCCATGGAAGTGCCTCCACAAGGCG